GGACCCAAATTTGGGTCCTCTCGTGAATGACAGGTTAAAGTGCTTTAGAAAATAAAACTGGCATGGAATGGAATGGTACACCTTTAATTAAAAGAATTATGTTTAAATACATTTAATTTTCATTTCATTTAATTAATATTCAACAAGCTGGATAGAGAATACACATTGTGCAATCACACATCTGGTTCATAATTTGTCAATTAAATTATGAACATGGACATGGATGTTGTGTGTAATTAAATGTTTCAGGGTTTTGATATTGACCTAGAGGCTGAATCCACACTCTGCACCCATTCTGGAGACTGTAATTACAAGCTGCAAATTGAAGTGATCAGAAATTGACAAGATTCTCTCAGCAAAGGAGGATGCACTCATTCCAAAGTCTCAATAGCTCTTCAATGTGCTGTCAGCTCCCGGATAGTGAGATGCACTCAGTTGAGATTTCATGTCAGAGAGTATACGCAGATAGGATTTTTTAAAAATATTATTTTAATTGTTACTAACTGATTTAGTTACCTCCACAAATTAAGCCTGGGCGTAAAGTTGAAGATCTCTTCAGGTTTGCACCAAGTAGCAGATGTGTGAATTCTAATCCATAAAATGACGGATGTTCTTCAGATTTTCCCGTCACCATTTAAGAAACCCAGAAAAATATGGAAAATGTTCCTCTAACAAGTCTCCTGTCTCTATCACTCCCATCCCAGCCTGGAGTGCCTCCAGCTGGTTGTCCAGGCTGATGGACCTGCCCTCTGTGCTGGACATTTGAACTTTAAAATTTTTCAGTTTCGTGAACAGACCCACAAGTGAATGGAAAAATTCATTACATCAGAACTTATTTGACAGATGTGTTTCCATCTCCTTTTTAAAATTAATTTTAGTAAAATAAATCAAATTGTTGTACAATAGCTTGTACCTTTTCTGGTGATTTAACAGAATTTAAATCCCCTTTGCTGAAATCTGAAGATGTTCCAAAAATGTCTAACGAAATAAAAGTGTCACTTGTCTTTTATTTTAAACGTGGCTTTAATCTTTGATCTTTTGCATTAGCTAATCAAACATGATAAAGTGTCACTCAAGGGTTCAATATCCTTTTCTTAAAAAGTCAAGAAGTTACAAAGTCAAGTAGTTACAATTCTGTGTTTATGGATGCCCACATCAGTGAATAGTGCATGCATACCACAGAAATCTCATATATACACACACTTTTAAAGTGCTATAACAATGGGCAGTGCCTACACAATCATTTCAGTATCTCTACTCCAACATATAGTTTGGAAACTGTGATTATATGGATAAGTTCAGTAATAACATATATATCTCGCCTACTTTTTGCCACTGTCAGCCCTTCCAGGTCTCACCGTCCGGCTTCAAAAGTGAAGCGAGTGGCATCACGTCCATAGCGCCGGAGAGAGCAGAGGGGCCAGGTAATCAGCTTGGTGCGAGGGTTGTGGATGTCCCACAGGTATATGTTCTCATGGGTTATCTGCATCATACCCTCCCCGTAGATATCCAGGTTTGGACAGGGAAGGAGGAACACATTGAAGCGCTCTAACAAGACATAGAATGTCAGGATAAAAGGAAACAATATTTTCTAAGGGAAGACTTTTTATCAAAATGAATATCCGAAGAGTCCTGCTGTGGACTGAAGCCTCCCTCTAAGGCTCTATGTCTCAACAATACGTGTGTGTGTGTGTGCGTGTGTGCGCGCGCGCGTGTGTGTGTGTGTGTGTGTGTGTGTAAAGTACCTGTGTGTTCACACTGTACTCCAGCAGCCAGCAGGTCAGGTTCTCCCATACTGATGTCATTCAGTCGAATACCAAGACACTCAATAGACAGCATCTTGAACCAGTCCTCTGCCTCCAGCTCTACGACACACAGCATTTCACATCTGGTCTACTCCGTCTTACTTTGACACAAGCCTGTTCCTGGAACATCTCAGCAGCGATGTTCGGCAGCTGAGCTGAAGTATGTGAATGTTTGATTGTGTAAGTTTGTTTACCTGATTCACAGGTGAAGGTGCGTGAGGAGTCATCTGTAAACAAAATGGCTACTGCGTGTCGCTTGGTATCTCGAGGTAACCGGGTGATGTTCTTGACATTACTAATTTCTGTCACCTAAATAAAATAAAAAAGGGAACATATGTTGACTAAATTAAAAACACAGTAAATTTTGCCCCTCCATCTTGGGGGTTGTCAGCATGAATGTTTAAATCTTTCACAATTATTAAACAGTCCTAATAGAAGGTCACAGAAGATCACTAAAATTGTTTAAGAAGTTAGTTTAAATTTTATGGGACTATAAATACTTGAGAGCCAAAAATTCAAAGAGTTTTTGTTAGAAACCACCTTCCTCCAGACTCCCCTTAAGCTTCCTGCTCTTACTAAGAAAATCTTTAGTATTGAGGGTTGACTCGATCAGGATGGATGTCTCACTAAATCCAAGGCACTTGTGCTGCAAGTGTTATCTCGGCAGATGTGGCACTTTGTTTTCAGGTCAAATGTAATAATAATAATAATAATAATAATAATAATAATAATAATAATAAATTTAATTTATAAGCCACTTTTCATTAATAAAAATCTCAAAGTGCTACGTGGTTCATCTAAAAACATAAAATCAACAATCAAAAACAATAAAAAAAAAGACTGTCAAATAAAAGTGGAGAAGGCTTGTCTAAAGAGGAAAGTTTTCAAGCCAGTTTTAAAATTGGACAATGATTGCGGGGCTCTCAAATAGTCCGGGAGATAGTTCCAAAGACGAGGAGCAGCCACAGCAAATGCTCTATCACCCAAATGTTTATCATGTGTATACCTTATGTCTCCGGGCTTCAACTATTCAACGAGCAGAGTGCCTCGTTGAATAGCATGAATTACCACTTTTTTGTATTAAAGACAAGGCATTTATTTACAGGAGTGTTCAGAAATTAACAGTCCCTATGTGAACCTCCAAGCGCTTCAGGAGGCATCGGTAGAGAACAGCTGGCCAAAATTAGCGTTCATAAATCGGATCAACCTTGAGCTAAACGTCCCTTACTCCGCGGAGGGCGAACAGCGTCTGCGGAGTAAGGGAGTTTAATTAATTTAGAATTAAAAATAACTCAACCTGAATTAACATGATAGATATAATGTATGTAATAAAAGCGAGTCATTAATGAAGGGAAAAAAACTCAACCCAGACTTTAAGTTTAGGGTCTGGTTCGCAGAGTATGAAGTTAATTTTTTCCCCAATTATTCAATGAAAAAAAAAAAAAAAAGCTAACCTCAGTTAAGTAAAAAAAAATTGTAATCAAAACTTCAAAACTTTTGGATTTGTAATGATTTTGGTTTTTTTTTTAAACAAAAAGTTTTGTTTTAAAAAACTTTTTTTTAAAAATTAAATAACTCATTTTTGTCTTGTGAACTTAAAAAGTTATTTGCCAAACAAACTTTTATTTGCACACATCAGTTATCTTTTGTTGTGATTTTAGGCCCTGCCCACGACGTCATGTGAGAATCACAAGCAAAACTTTGAGTCACAAATAAAAACTTAGAATATCAAGAAAAGATTTCTGACATGCACAAATAAGTTTGTTTTGCAAAAAAAAAATTCACTTCATGAAACAAATGTGTGATTTAAATGTTTAAAAAAGTTTTAAGCAAAACTCAGTAGGCTTTTCTCATGGTGACATGCATTAACAATTCAATTTTTGCTTTTTTTTTTTTTTCCGTTTTTCTGCAGTTCCACATTAAAGTTTGATGCAGCTCTGCTTTCCTGAATGGACCATCTTCATCTCCACTGCAAGTGTAGCAAACAGGCAGCTCTTTTTTTTAAAACAAGGGCACAATGCAACCTT